TCTTGTGCTTTAGTAGGATGTAATCTGGGTTATTCAGAGCGTGGAAACCTGGGTGCGCAGCAGGAGCCGGATGTTGGTAGTGGGCGTTGTCAGGAGGTAACAGTCTGAGGGTGCTGGGCCAGTGGGGAAGCTGTCAACACAGAGAGTGGACTTGGGAGTGAGTAGCTCCTTCAGCCACTTTGTCCCTGTGGCAGAGAACACATTTCTGGTGACCCCTTGGTCCAGGAAGACCTCCTCAGAAAAATGCATCTCTTTTGAGTTCTTTCTGTTGATGATGTGCCCAGCCACAGGTGCCCCAAGGAGGAAGAACCCCCTGATGAACATTACCCCAGCCAGCCAGGCGGCAGGGATCTGGTGTGTATTCTGTGACTTAAAACAGCCTTCTAGATTCTCATCTATGCTACTGACTGTGGTATGGAGAAGGTGATGAGCACCTATGTTGTATATTAATCCATACCCTAACCGACACCCATTTGCCTTGCATAACTTGTAAACACTTTTGGGTAAATAGCAATTTTAGATACAACCTGACTACTGGGTTATAATTAAAGCAGGTCTTAAGGCAAAATTCTGGCTCTCATATAGACATTTAAATTAAAAAAACATTTGTAAAAATAGGTAGAAAATTTTCAGCTCTCTAAGATTCTAGAGGTTCCAACCCCACCTTGTATGAAAACAGATGTGGCCATTTTGCAGACAGAGGATTCTATTGCTAACAGGGGTTCAACACCAGCTTCCTCTGAACCAATGGCTGGGGATCCCTCTGCAATTCTCAGACCTCAAGGACCATCCCTAAAAGCGAATGAGCCAAAGTGTTCACTTTGGGTGTATCCTGTTCATGAAAAGGTAGAGAATATCTCTAAAACACAAATTTGAGCACCACCAATGTCACCTCTTTCTAACATTCGTTGTGCTATTGGCAAATCCCTAAATTCATGGGTGAAAACCCATTCCTTACCTTAATTATGTCAATTAGCAAGGCCTCAGGGGGACTGTGAGACTTAAAGAGCTAAACTGAGGGAGGAAGGCAGCCACCTGTGGAGCATGGGATTTCTGATTCATCCCGATGTGTGTGACGTGTGTACTGTGTGTCGTGTGTACCACTATCCCAGTGTGTGTTCCCAGTGAGGAAGGCTGCCTGGTCCTGGAATGTCATTTAAACTAATTCCAGACACCAGTGCTATATTATATGGTATCTGCCCAAGTCTTTTAAAGTAAATGGTGGACCTCCTACCCACCGTTAGCTATTTTAGGAAGCCACAGACCCGCAAGCATTCCTGTTTGGACTGGAGACCTAGCGGGGAATCTGGAAATCTCACAGGAGCCCCTTGGCACCTTAGTTTTTCTCTGACCTTTGAAAACCCAGCTTAGTGGTTCTTTTGGATCTTCCTTTTTTTTTTTTTTTTTGCTTTGGAGCATAGAGCATATCAGAAAGGACTTTCCAGTCCATTTAATGAAACTATATTTTATCTGAATCTGAAATCAGGTTCACTTTATCTGAAGCTTGGACAAAATCCTGGTCTTTCTTAGCTTCAAAGGAAACAATAAACATTTGAGTTAAACAAGACATCACTTAACTAGTATCAAACCCAGATTCCTGCCAAATTTGGACTGTGGGATTTCCAGCCCATCTCCATTTACCTAGGTAGTCACCGGTGGATGGATCACATCAGGCCATCCTGCAAGAAGGTGAATTCTTCTTGCTGATAATGGGACTCAGAATTGTTGCCTAACTTCACAAAAATTCAGGGCCTCTGTTGTCTGATTGTGAATCAGTAATGCAGAGGTATTTGTCTCTCTCAATACTTCTGCCCTAGTTGGGATTTAGAACTGCTGCTTCCAGAAGTAGATGCAATTGAGTATCAGGAAGAGTTTTCTGAATTTATGGAAAGAAGGGGGAGGAGCCCCAGTAGCTAACAGGAAGGAAAGTCTCTTTCCTGTTTACACCCCCCAGTGTCTAGATTTTTCAAAAATGTGTTGGAAAGGAATCATCTCAGATTACATGGGGTCCCCAAACTTTGACTTTTAACCAGTAATTAGCATTTCTTATAAATCTCAGTTTGACACATCACAGAAGACATAACTCATGAGACTCATCATTTATGACTCAAAGCTAAAGGTAGTTTTTTTTGACACTGTAAAAATGTACTGTCAAATGCTATTCTCAGACTTAAAGTTTTTAATTGGAACAGATGTTGCTAGTTCAGAAAGTAGGCCTTGCAAGAGTTGATATAACTTTTTTTTATAGAAGATTTATTTATTTATGCATACAAGAACTGGGGTACAGGCCAGAGATGTGGGGCAGAGGGGTGAGAAGATTCACCAGAGACAGAGTGGGAAACAGAACAGGCAGACTGACTGAAATACACTGCTGAGGGGAGCAGCGGGCGAGACAGGAGAGGTCTGCTGCATCATGTGGATAGCTCCCTGGCCGGCCGGGGATCGAACTCGTGCTGCAGAGGCTGCGGATTGCTTCATAGTGCTGTACTTAACCCCTTGCGCCACCAGGGAGGCCCTGATATAACTTCTAAGTTCAAAAAAAGAAAAGCTGATGGGGAAATCTGTTCATCCAAATTCAAACATTCAGGAGAAAGGTAGTTTTGAGGTAAGGAGCAAAAAATGTGTCAGGAAATGCTGGGAAGACAGGCTCAGTCACTCCTTTCTCTGTGATTATCGATTACAGATGGGTACAGGCAAGTGTTTCACTTGGGCCTCATCAGAATAAGTAAACTCCAAAATAGACTTACGGCTTCCTAGGAGTTTAGATAATCCGATTGTTTTCCAGAGAAAAGAACTCTTCTGAAGCTTATCGTCACTGCTAGTCTCCTTGTGGCCTTCACAGCAAACTCCCTGCATGTTTGATGAATGGATTAACACTAAATGAACTGTAGGATGAATAACTTGCCTTTTAACTTCTTTTAATGTTACATTGCCCTCTTTCTTCTTATGCCAGCTTTTATCAAGTGTTTTAGTTTCAATAGCGCTGTGATTTTTAACCTTATCTCAGTCCCAGCTGCTTCTTACAGTTTCTTACATTTTTCTTTTTCTTCCCCCCACCCCACCCACCCCTGCAAAGTTAACAGGGACAGAAAGAAAGCTAATATTCTTACTCCCATGAAGAATATTAATACTAAATCATTAATACTAAATATTAATACTAAATGAAGCCAGGCGTGGGAGTGTCACAGATAATCGGATTCTCATTTTAGCAGTATTGTGTGTCTTTTTGTTGGTATGTTTATGCCAGGAATAGCTTTCTGTGGAGTAAGGCTAATTGTGACCAAGGTTTACTTGAAATTGAATGGCAGCCAATAAGTTTCAGGCATTCAAATTTTCTGTAATTCCTAGTGACGCAGAAGTTACTGACAATTGCCTTCCAAAAGGAAAGTTTAATGCTTTTTAAACGGCATGACTCTTTAGTCATAAAGAAGAGAACCATGTGTTAATGTTGGCACCAAATAAAATTTAAGTCTGTTGATTTAAAATAAAATAAAGATATTAACAATTATAAAAACTAGCAGTATTAAGTGCCAGGCTTTCATAAAGTCCAGACCTAGACTGGAAAGTCATCTGAAACCACACAATGTTGACAAAGACAGGACACTCATTATTGTTGCATCTTACTGAAAAAGGAATATATATATATATATATATTTAATGCATGTTAAATATATATAAATATATTAATATAATATAAAATCTATAAATATAGAATATAGAAATATATTGATATAAATATATAATATATAAATATTAAGTATATAATATATTTAATGTATATATAAAGGCACATATATATATATAATTGGTTTAAATCAGAAGAGGGATATGGAAAATGAAGGGTGAAATAAACCACCAATTCATGGATGCCATTCTAGTTTATTGATAACTGAGAGTTTTTCAGCACTCTGATAGCAATGCATAGTGCATAGAATGGACTAGTCTATGCTTAAAAGAAGCATAGAATTATGCTTAAAGGTCAAATAAACAAAAATTATACCATATTGCAATTTTGCCTTTTTGTGTCCATAACATCAGTTGCACTAGAGACTTGAGACAAAGACAAAGCTGACCAAGCTGCAAGTGAAATCCTTGAGAATACAAATTTAGCTCACAATTTACCACTGGATTATCTGAGATAATCATTTGATATGAAAAAAAATCCTAGACATTCAAAATTAATCTATTAGTGCCAAATAACAAAATCATATAGGAGTGATAGTTGATGGAGAAAAGGACACATTTCAAGACATTAAAGATTGTTTTTCTCATTTAACAACAAAAGTGGAGCTCTCACATAGTAAACCTCTTAGGAGCTAGTGGGAGGGGCTACTGGCCACTAGATGTTCAAAGCAATACATTGTTTTGATGTCATCTGGGAGAACAGAACTATGCAGTCAGTGGCTTGGTTACTGGCTTTGGTTACTGTATTTGTAATGCACATGGTCAATTACAGGCCTGGTCGTGGGGCCTGGAAGCCATTAAGGAGCCATTGAAGGAATCTACTGTTTTCCAATATTTAATTTTGGAAAAGTTTTTCAAAAAGTTTCTAATCTCCGTAATAATTGCATTACATTTGGCAGAGAATTATGTTTTCAGAATATTTATTCATGCAAAAGGACCTTCTTTTTGCAATTGTAGACCTACAAATAGTCTTTTTACAATTCTGTAGTAGTTTTGATATGAGAGAATTTGGAAGACTCTGCAATAATGGCTATGTAATCACTTCTACTTAGAGGATATTCAAACTATCGCTTGAGATGATCTGAGTCTTTATTTAGTTTTAAATTAAAAAATGGGACTACCATTTATTCAAAATGCGCTGGGCTTCCAGTCAACAAATAGAATCTATAAAATTGATGGGTTTTATAAGTACCTGCTACCCAACAAAATGAAGATGTGATGGATTTCCTTCCAGTTAATTATCAGTTAACTTCTCAGTGTTCACATCCATGAGAGATGAGGTATCTAACCTGGACTTCGTTTTCTGTTTATTCTAGAAGCCTCCCCAGCTTTCTGAGGATGATATCCAGCTAAAGATCGAGAGAGAGAACGGTAGTGCCAACCCCCCGGAGCCTGCTCCCTGCTCTCTTCCCCTAGATCATAAAAACATGGAAATTGAGGTCTCTGTTGCAGAATGTAAAAGTGTTCCTGGCATCGCCTCTCCGCCACACTCCATAGACCACCCCTCCCCTTTCTATTCACCCCCCCACAATGGCCTCCTCGCTGATCACCATGAATCTCTGGATAATGATGTGGCCAGAGAGATCCGCTATCTAGACGAGGTGCTGGAGGCCAACTGCTGTGATTCTGCCGTGGACGGAACTTACAACGGCACATCGTCCCCAGAGCCTGGAGCAGCTGTCCTGGCAGACAGTCCCAGCACCCCCGCACACTCAGCCATACCATCAGAACCCACTAACAGGGCCACTCCCAGGCAGGCCCCTCCTCACATTGAACTCAGTGAAAGCAACTCTGACGACATGGCAGAGGGTAGAAGAGCCAACGGCCACTCCCCTGACCAGCCCAGGGATATGCTGGGGGACAGCCTCCAGGCCCCCGCGAGCCCCACCTCCTCCACCAGCTCCCGGTGCTCGTCCCGAGATGGGGAGTTCACGCTCACCACACTGAAGAAGGAGGCCAAGTTTGAGCTGCGTGCCTTCCACGAGGACAAGAAGCCCTCCAAGCTCTTCGATGATGATGAGCGTGGGAAAGAACAATACTGTGTCCGGAAAGTGAGGCCTTCAGAAGAGATGCTGGAGCTGGAAAAGGAAAGGAGAGAACTCATCCGGAGTCAGGCCGTGAAAAAGAATCCCGGCATTGCAGCAAAATGGTGGAATCCTCCCCAGGAGAAAACCATCGAGGAGCAGCTGGATGAGGAGCATCTGGAGTCGCACAAGAAGTACAAGGAGCGCAAGGAGAGAAGGGCACAGCAGGAGCAGATGCTGATGCAGCAGCAGGTACAGCAGCAGCTGCAGCAGCCCCCACCAGCGCTCTGCACGGCTCCCACATCTGGCTTGATGGAAAATGCAAAGGAGGACATTGTCACGGAGCAGATAGATTTCTCTGCTGCTCGCAAACAGTTCCAGCTGATGGAGAATTCCAGGCAGACCGTGGCCAAGGGCCAGAGTACACCCCGGCTCTTCTCCATCAAGCCCTTCTACAGGCCTCTGGGGTCCATCAACTCAGACAGGCCTTCGACTATTTCAAGACCAGCTTCTGTCAGGGCTGCTCCAGAAGACAGTGGCGCACTGGCGACCAAGGAGCAGCGAGCCAGCTGTGCCCCCGAGAGCCAGTCTTCTATGGGAGGAAGCCAGGGCAGCACTCCTCAGGGGAAGGAAGGGTCCTGTGGCGAGCCCAAACGCGGGCCCTTATCTAAACTGTGGGCAGAGGATGGTGAGTTTACGAGTGCCCGGGCTGTCCTCACCGTCGTCAAGGATGATGACCCTGGGATTTTGGATCAGTTTTCAAAGTCAGTCAATGTCTCTTTGACCCAAGAGGAGCTTGACTCTGGTTTGGATGAGTTGTCGGTGAGGTCCCAGGATACCACCGTCCTGGAGACACTGTCCAATGATTTCAGCATGGACAACATCAGTGACAGCGGGGCCTCCAATGAGACCACCAGTGCCCTTCAGGAAAATTCACTGGCTGATTTTTCTCTACCCCAGACTCCCCAAACTGACAACCCCTCAGAAGGCCGTGGAGAAGGTGTCTCCAAGTCATTTAGCGATCATGGTTTCTATTCCCCATCTTCCACGCTGGGCGACTCTCCATCCGTGGACGACCCCTTGGAGTATCAGGCTGGCCTCCTGGTGCAGAATGCCATCCAGCAAGCCATCGCTGAGCAGGTGGGTGGAGCTGTGCCAGAAACCAGCAAGGGTGGCGCACAAAGGCAGGGACCTGAAGCTAGAACTGGGGCTCCCAGCTCAGAGAAGCCCCAGAGCATGTTTGAACCACCTCAGGTGTCCTCTCCTGTTCAAGAGAAGAGGGATGTATTACCAAAGATAGCACCTGCGGAGGACAGGGCGCTCAGGGAAAGGGGAACCTCCCAACCACTGCCAGCGGTGCAGCCCAGCGGCCCAATCAACATGGAGGAGACCAGACCCGAAGGGGGCTACTTCAGCAAGTACTCAGAGGCCGCCGAGCTGAGAAGCACAGCCTCACTCCTAGCCACGCAAGAGTCTGATGTGATGGTTGGGCCCTTCAAGTTGAGGTCAAGGAAGCAGCGGACTTTGTCCATGATCGAAGAAGAAATCCGAGCAGCCCAGGAAAGGGAAGAGGAGCTCAAGAGGCAGCGGAGAGTCCTGCAGAGTACCCCGAGCTCCAGGGCCAAGAACGCGCTGTCCCTGCCCTCCCGATCTTCCTGCTACAAAACAGCCCCAGGTAAGTGAGTGCCGCACACCCAAGGCAGATGCAGGGGAGACTGGCTTGTTCCAGCTTATAGGTGTCTGTGTGGAGCCGCGCCTCTGTGGGACTGGAGTAGGAGTCTAGGGGACACCAGCATAGGATTTGAGCATCAGGGTCATGCAGCAGGAATGATGGAGGCTCCTCTGGACGATCCCTGAGCCTTGATGGTGTTTGCCTCTTCCTAGAGGACGCACTAACTCCTCTCTTATCATTTTGTTCTGGTCTTGGTGTGGTAGAGAGAATTGTTTTCTTTGAAGGCGCTGCCTCATGGCTGGAGGAGGGGCTGAGTCAGAGTTTGCCCGTGCGTGGACTATATGGTCACCATCAGTTTTGGTAGTTAAATTGGCGCCATTTGATTTGGGAGGTGTACTCTACTCACCCCTTCTGAACACAGAGTCCCTTCCCTGCAATGACAGTCTGATCTTGGTGTTGTGGAGTGGCCCATAGAAGATGCTTTTATCCATTTTCTATATAGTTGAGTTTGTCTTCTTTTCAGTCACCACAAAGCACTTACTTCAGAATCAGGTGGTTTTATCCATTCTTGTCCTGGGGTCCCCATGTGGGGGAGTTGAGTTCCTAGAGCTAAAGGCAGGTCTTAACCACCTCCCATTGACTGGGTAGGCCCCGTCTCAAATACTTTGTCGGGAGGGTTGGTATTAGAGTGGTTACTACCACTGTGGACAGTGGTGTAATCAGTAGTTTTTATTTCCCACTTGGGTGTGATGGCAGTCAGATCCACACACCCTGCCTCAGGGAGGTATTGCTGCAAGTGTGAGCTGAAGCCCATGAACCGTTCATTAGCTGTTTGTGCTGAGAGAGGTGCAGACATTGAGAGTAAGCACTTGCAAATTCTCATAGCAATTTGGCTGTCTTGAAATCCAGGTGTGAGATTTGACTTGCATTATTCTTGTCATCATTGGCATGTAGCTTGCTCCATTTAGATCTGAATCCCACCTTGATCCTTGGCTTTCATCAACTCTGCAACAGTGCCAGGTAACTTCTCTTTATTAATTTCTAAAGTTTGAAACAATCTCAGACCTAAAGAAAAGTCTCCAAGGATAGTGCAGATATCTTTTTGACTAGGAACCATGGAGAGCCAGTTCCCAAATGATGCTCCATCGCCCCTTTTTCTGTAGAATGTTCCTCATTTTGGGTCTGCCTGATGCTTTCACACAATTGCATTCAAGCTATGCATCCTTGTCAGAAAGCCACAGAAATGATGCTATTCCCTTACTGTATGCAGCCAGGCAGTACATGGTATGGATTTGTCTCATAAGGACAGACACTACCTTGTTTCATATGATGTTGATTTCAATCACCCAATTGAGGGAGTGTCTGCTAGGTTTATACGCAATGAAGTTACCTTTTCTTTTTTTATAATTAGTAACTATTTTGTGGGGAGTTACTTTGGTATTATGTCAATCTCATCTTACTTATCAGACATTTTATCCATTATCTATTTGAGCCACTACAATCTCATTTCTATGATACAATGGATTATAATCCATTCCTATCATTATTTCTATACTTAATTTGTTCAGCTATAGTCATGGGAGCCCTTTTGCGCCACCTTCAGTGTTCTTTTAACATGTTCCCATTATTCTTTGGACATATCCTTAATTTCTGACCATGAGATGCTCTGTCTTATCTTACTGATTCGCTGAACACAGCGAATTCTACAAAGAGCACTAACACCCTTTAGTGGGGAACAGTATTCAGAAACCAAGATCTGCATGCTTGGTGTGCTCACTGCAGTTGGATTGTAACTGCTCCCAAGCACTCTCAATCAACAGAATAGAGAGCATACACATGTGTGGTGTGTATCTGTTTGTCCATCTGTCCATCTGTCCATCCGTCCATCCATCCATCCTATGACCTATCTACTTCTTGGTCACAAGAACCATGAGCTCATCTTTAATTCTAATCTAATCACAGGGTTCACATTCTTCCTTTCCATATTTGTAACCTCCTTAATAGTAAAATACTGGATTTCTTTTATCTTCAGTATATTATTTTATCAGTCCTCTCCAGACACTTATATAACTAATCTCTTGTTTTCCTCACCAAACTTTGGCTCCAGTATCACTTTCTGGGTGGCCACTTAATGATCATCCTCCTTACCCAAGTTGTGCTCCAGCCCTGGGTCGAATCCTACCCTTGTCCCCTCCCACCTCTGCTCTGGCTCCATCACATCATTCTGGGCCACTGTGCCTCTTCCCACACACCCAACTTCCCGCAGACACCAAACTTGTCACTCCACGCAATGACTTTTGAACTAAACTGCTCAGGAAGGAAAGGGAAGGGAAGAGGAAGCAGAACACAGTGACTTTCTTGATAATGGTTTTTTTAATTATTTCAGGTAACAGAGCAACATGCAGCTGAGCATTTGAGGCTAAGAAAGTTTGCAGGGGGAGATTTATTTTGGAGGGGGGTCACCCATGCATAAACAGGACTGGTTGGCTTAGTTGTCAAATTACTTTAAATTCTTGTGGGCTTAGCACAGAGATGCAGTTGGGCATTGTGTACAGCATCTTAAAATTTTTGTGCCACTTGAATTCAGCTGCATCTGAATCTTACTTCACAAGGAAGTGACTAAATGGCTTGCAAAAGAGCCCACAGTCTGATGAAGGAAGTTTCAGCTCCTGCTGCTCATATGGAAGTCAAGCACCATGGCTCTCCTATAGTTATAGCTGACTGCACCTACCTAGCCCTCCCTTTGCATTATTTCATTCTGGAATGTTCTCAGTAGCACATATATACTCAGTGGATCCTTTCTGTCTCTCTCATTCACTGCACCTCTTAATTGAATCCCTCACCACATTGCATCCTCTACTTTACTTCTCGTAGATGAACAGTTGTGTGATATAAAGACATTTCCACACTTTCCTGTAGATCACTGACCTGCTGGTTTCTGTCACGCTTCCCCACCAGGCTTAAAACAAGTTAAGGTCTTCATGTTTGCCCCAGCAGCCAGCCCAGTACCAATTTCTTTGGCACTTCTCTCTATACTAGAACTGACTTCCCTCTCTGTATCCCATCCCCTCTATGAACCCCTGAATTCTAGCCCTTTATGTAAGATGGTAATTGGCCCATGCAAGTCTTCACACTGAACAGAGTCAAGATAATGTCTGTGCATCTCATTCCTTCACATTTATCTCTAGGACAATTAATTGGGTGTCAGGGCTTCTCAGAATCACAACACAAGTTGAAAGAAACTGAAAGCAAAATGCAATTTTTCTATCCTTGCCTGGAAACCTGTGGAGTAATGCTGGGCTGCCCAGTCTCCAAGTTTGGAGGAGGCTGACACACTAGTCTGAGTATCCAAATGGGACGATTCATGGCCAGGGTCAGAATTGCTGGCTCCAGTTTAGGTTTTGTGAATGAAGATGTACTGCTCTCCATCTCCTGCCAGTAGAGGTGACTCAGCTGATTTGTTACATCAGATCAGTGAGTCAATATTAGGTGATGAAAAATGTAATTTTTAACTTCTCCTTGAGTGGAAATCTTGCTGGAGATATGCTGGAATCCTAAAAGCTTAAAGCATATAAAATCTACTTAGAGTCAAAATGTATTAAAGAAAGAGAAATGTACTAATTCTTCACATAGAACGTTGTCCAGACATTATGTCCATTCTCTGGGTATTGTAAATATCATTTTTTGTTTGTTTCCCTACCTTTCAAAGTAGGAGGATTATAGCGTTTCTTTAAAAGGATGGAGTCTTTTTCAAAGACCAATTGTAAGGAAGTCCAGAAATATCCAGAAAGTCATCCAGGAATATTATCTTGTTGGTCCTTACTTGATTTTTAAGGTAAGAGGGTCCACTTAAATAAGGTTTGTGTGACCTTTGTTCTTACAGAGATGAGCAGGGCAGGTGCTGCCCTTCCCTCTGGGAACTTACAGTTCAGTAATAGAAACATCCAACAAAGGTGTCCTTTTGCTGACAGAAGCAGGGAGACCTGCAGGAGCAGAGAATAAGGAAGGCCACCTCACTGGAGGGACAAGAAGGCTTCTTTCCTTGTGAAAATTCCATCTAAGCTGAGAACTGAAGGAGTGGAAGTTGGGCCCAGAGGGTGGCTAGAGATTGTTCTCATGGAAGGCAAGGCACCCACAGAGGTCCCAAAAGGAACAGAGAACTAGGCAATATTTGAGGGGTGGAAATAAGGCAGGATGGGTTGAAGGTAGGGAGTTAAAACAAATCAAAGTTGCCTTGGAGGCAGCCAGTGAAGAACAGTGTATGTATGTTAAAGGTATTCAAGTTTAGACTTTATCCTGTAGGCCAGTGGGAAGCCAGTTAAGGCTCTCAAAGGGGTACTTACCTCCACACATTTCCTTGCTGTCCTGACTTCCTCAATGAGTTGATGGACTAAAGGGCTCTCTGCTATAATGAGTTCTTGGCACTGCCTTTTATGGTGCTCTTTCTGTGTGGGAGCATCTCTGGAGGCATGGTGCACGCCATTTTGACGGTGACGCCATCTTGACGGTGACGCCATCTTGACGGTGACGCCATCTTGACGGTGACGCCATCTTGACGGTGACGCCATCTTGACGGTGACGCCATCTTGACGGTGACGCCATCTTGACGGTGACGCCCGGTGCATTGTGAGAGGCCTGAATCGCAAGAATGAACACGCATGCTCTGGGTGTTGATGTACTTAGGCAAAGCAGAGACAGGAAGCACTCTGGCGGGTGCACCAGTAATTTCACACAATACTGTAAAAGGCCCTCCGAGAGTGAGTTTGGGAGGAAAAACCTAAACATTTTATTAAAGTTACAATGGAGAACTATTTCAAATGTCTTTTCACATTACGGGTGTCAACAGACAGTTCTCATTTTAGTGCCTGTGCCTATTATTAGATATCCTGGTTTCACTTCAAAGTTCTAGACATGACAGAGAAACTCAGTTAGTTAGGTGATGATTAGTTTAGCCGTTTCTGTTTTCATGCCACATGTAGAATGGCTCTGCCAAGTCAGAGAGT